ACAACGCTGCCTTGAAATGAAAACAACACTGTTGGCTCAGTTGCATTGACAAGACGCAGCAAAAAATAAACAACAACAAACTACATTGACATGAATTTGAATCGGCGTGTGCCGACATGGTCACGAACTGTGTGGATTTTAATTGGATCTTTTACTTGTGTATATGAGGCCGCTTGAGGAAGACTGAGCTGAAGTAGTTTTGACGTGCGCAGTGCGCACCTTAAGGGCGAGCTGACAAGTACATCATGATATAGAGTCATTCCCCAAACAGTGTGGACACACTGGGGGTTCTTACGGTACGTGTAAAGCACCGGTGTCTAATCGAGGTGTTGCACCGACGTGCGCGGCTAATTCAGTACATTCAGGCCTTTCGAAATGCTTGAAGTGCATTTCGACTCCGCAGGCTCGTAATGGCTGGTGCAGTGAATCGTGACTTTTGGACATGTGGCTCGCAGGCATAGCGCTTTGTGAACCTCGACGTGCAGATTTCGTGGCAGGCACAGCACTTTGTGAACCTCGAAGTGCAGCTTTCGTGGCAGGCGCAGCACTTTGTGAACCTCGAAGTGCAGATTTTGTGGCAGGCACAGGACTTTGTGAACCTCCATGATCAGACTCTCTCTCTCTCTCACTCTCTCAGTCACTCTCTCACTCACTCTCTCACTCGCTCTCTCACTCACTCTCTCATTCACTCTCACTCTCACACTCACTCTCACACCCACACCCACACCCACACCCACACCCACACTCACACTCACACTCCCACTCCCACTCCCACTCGCACTCGCACTCGCACTCGCACTTGCACTCGAACTCGCACTCACTCACCCACTCACCCACTCACTCACTCACTCACTCAGTCAGTCAGTCAGTCAGCCAGCCAGCCAGTCAGTCAGTCAGTCACCACCGCCACCATCACCACCATCACCACCATCCCCACCTTCATCACCACCATCACCTGTCTGGACCCCAATGCGTCTAGATCTCTAGACTTTCTGCTGCTACACCTCTAAACCTCACACACACTGTTTGGGGACCCTTGCCGGCATAATGTTTTGTGAAAATTCCGTTTGTGATTATGATGCTCCATTTGGATTGATTTTTCACTCGTTTTAAATCAAGAACTCGAAACCCCCGAAAACCTAAAGCCCGAAAATTCAAAGATAAGAAAAGGTGGAACAATTCGGCAAATTGAGCAGTCTTAACTGCTTGCTCTCGTGTATTAACTGAATCATTTGTTTTACCTTTCTCGTTTTCTAGCTGTTCGGGTGGGTGACCTCTAGATCTTAACGATGCGGTTTAACGAGCGCTTTGGTATCGTTAAGGCCCGCCGAGTGAGAAATGAACTTGGAACCTCAATGAAAACACCCACTATCCGTGTCTTGGAAGACACCAGAAGTCATTATATAAGGACCTGTGATCTACAGCGTCCTCTTGGCGTTTCAATTACTTAAAGACGAGCCCCCCCTGTTAACCCAACATATTGCCCGTGTTAACCGCTAATATCAACCAGGTTGATTTTAACAATTCTTATGCAGGTTGACTTTGTTGCCTTTGGTGAATACATGCCTGCGCCGCCGATCGATTTTGCTGTGCCATGCTGTGCCTAAATAGGTAGCATCATTCAAGTTGCCCTAAGAGATCGTCACAGTTCATCAAAAGACTAATATAGATGCCGCTGGAGCTAAGATGTCTAGATTCCGCAGACAAAACCGCGATAACCACGTGCCAAGGAAATGCTGAATGTCGAGTTTTCAAAATTGGTTCCTACGGAATGTTCGAGTGTAAGTTTTGTCTTGATTGTTTGTGGCTAAATTGTATAACTACTCTTGGCTTGTTTGTTGGTTGCTCATGTGCACGTGGGCGCACCCAAAACTTCACAAATGTCAACCAAGCGCGTCTCTCGTCCCCAAGGAAGGATTTCAAGCCAAGCACGGATGCTCCTAGCTTAGCAAGGTCAAGTTGGGAGTATTGCAGAATTAGACGCATGTGTTGTCATTTCTGCTTTGGGCTCAGGCTGGCGGAACCTTCAGCTCATCAGGCCGATCCTCATGCACCGATAGTTACAGCATATTAGATATGCGTCCAATCTGAGTGAGGCACACAGGCAACTAAGTATTCGACGGACCTGTTCCATGTTGAACACTGCAACTCAATTAGGATGACAGCGCAGTATTTCGGTTCATAGGCCAAAATAGGCGATGTTTGCCGGGCATTCTGGGTTTGTGTGAAAACGCCTAACTACCGGTCAGGGTCAACTTTTGGCGGCTCCCACTCTCAGACAGGCAGGGTGAATTCTTTGACTGACTCCGAAACTGCACAGTGATTCTTGGATTGTTTTGGAGTCTTAGATGGCCTGGTGCAAGAGAAGGATGCAAGTTCAACCGGAGAAATTCACAAAAGAACTGGGTGTGGTAGATGCAGAATCATAGGACGTTTGAGTGTCTTCCAACATTTGCCAACACATTACCGGCTCCAGGATTCTCGAAGTCCCCACTGTTGGGCCCGAGCACGGGTAGCTCTACCACGGAATCGCCATCGCTGGACAGCTCAGACAGCTCGACAAGTTCAGGTGAACATACATAGGAGGCAGTCGACAACTTGAGCCAAGACTGCAAGATATGTTTCTCACAACCATGCTTCCAACTGACAGTTGCAAAGTTGCCGCACAGGGGTTGACAAGCCCCTCTTGGACAAAGCTCCGGGTCCTTTGAGATGTGCTGAGGCTGGATCCACGGAGCCAATCCTGGAGTGTCCGGGACTTGGCATCGAATCCAACGGCAGCCGAAGTTGAAGCAGTCCGTCAGTGCCCCAAAGGTTGGCGTTCCACATCAGTTTCAGGCATAACTTCTTTAAAGTCTCTAAAGAAAGGATCCAAAGGCAACCTGGGCATGACAGAGACATAACATTCATAAAGATCATTCATAGATATTCATAGCATGGTCAATTGATGTCAACTGCATGTACATTTCCATGTCTCATACTGTAATATCTGAAAATAAGTAATGATCTACAGGGCACACGGATGATTACGGATGAATACGGTGAACATGAGTAGTATACCATATGCAGTCCAGTCTACAGGTTGGGGGGGTTGTTTTTGCATCCCACACCCTTGGTGTTTGTGGGTCCATGATCCCTTCTTTCAAGTGGCGTGATGTGTGCCAGAGCCGGGTCGATTTGCCTACTCATGTCGACCTTTGCTGCAGCATCCTGCAGTAAAAAATTATGGCAGCAATATATTGCCATACGAAACGCCTTTGGTGCTTGCTGGGACACATGCATCCTTACTGGCTGTTAGTTATGTAGAAGTGACCTCACCTCCAGATATGAAGATGGATGGATGTCTAGATTAGATTGGCTACAGTGCTTCGTCTTGCCTGGTACACGCTTCCAACCACATCCTGACACTAGCGTGCTTTGCAAACTTATGGTTAGATTATGGTTTGGGAGGTCCTGCTGTTTGGCGCCGCCTTAGCAGCTTTCAGAATTTAGGAGAAAAACATCATGCACTTTCTTGGCCAGGTCCCGCCGTCTATGGTCAACGATTTCTCACTGGGGGCGTGGCACCAAGAAAGAGTGAGGCAATGAGACTTCAAGTGTTTTTGTCTTCCTCTTGTCTGAAGAGGGTGCAAAGGAGCAATGGATTTCAACTCCAGCGCACTTTGAGTGGTGAGGTTCGTCAATTACATAAGCTGTTATCATGTCTCACGTCGCATCGCATTATCTCACGAAATGGCACGTATAACCGTACGTATAGCTCCAAAACAGGGGCCGTCCAACGAGAGGAGTGGGAGGCGATGCCAACTTCCACCAGTCCCCAATGATTGATCGCGATGTGATGAGGATCAGATTTGTTTGGCAGACAATCACGATTCATGGCATACATCTCATCAGTAGAGACAGATCTCTGAATGTGGCATCACGCTCTCCTCATCCTCTAGGCAATGGATCTGGGTGGCTGCCTGGAGGACAACCTTGTGACGGCATGTCAAATGTCAACGCACTCACTGCAGAAAGTCAATACAGACACCCGGCAAAGCAGTAGTATCAACAGTGTGATCAGGGGTCTCAGTCTGAGCGGGAAAGAGTCTCAGAACCGCTAGGATGTTGAAATGGACCTGCACGAGTACCAGGCAGAGAATTGTTCTGCGGTGCCGTTTCGGATCGCATCCTAGGCACCAACGATTGTTTTTTGTTGCATCATTTTATGTGAGCACATTCAGGCACATCACGAGGAGCATCTCCGGTATATGCTTCAAGCGAAGATTCAAGGCGAGGTTTGGATGTCGCCTGGGCCTGGAGAGCGCCCGAACGGTGGATTTTAAGGCTTTGCAGTCTGTGGATGGGGACAGGGTCCCCCGAAGGTTGTGCAGCAGAAGTGTGATCAATTCTGAGAGGAGATCTCTACCAAACCTGGCATGCTGAGAGACATTGAGACATGCCCTGTCAGAGTCAAGTGTTGTGGAAAAGGGAATGGGTGATGTCTACCTCCCCAAATTGATCTAAATCAAGCCTTGTGAACTCAAACCAGCCTTGCTCACAGCCTGTACTGCTATAGTGTTGCAGATTATGCATGGAAGCTTGAGAATGATCAGAAATGACGCGTCACTTAGATCCCCTTAAAACGGTGGAATTGTCCACGTATTTGCGTCAAGCAGCACCAGCACCTCCCATTCACTGCAGTTGTTGATGACCTATCAAGATGCCATAAGATGCCACTGTAACATTGAGCTGCTATATCTAGTCCATGGTCTGGCTCTATGTGACTTGATTGGTTACAATGTGGGTTGGCTGCGCAGTGAAGTGCAGCCAATCTGGTTGCATTGATTGAATTCGATAAATATCAAACCTTTCTTCCTTTTCTTTTTAATTGTTTCTACTAGCAATGGCCTCGAACCCACTAGCGATGGCCTCCAACCTAGTAGTGATGGCCTCCAACCTATTTGCGATGGCCTCCCAAAAATGCAAACTGTCAGCAATGACCTTCTAACACATTGCCGATGACGCAAATGGACTCTCGGCGCCGGCGACGGCCTCCTGATGAAGGAGGCGACCACGGACCATGTAGGAGGCAAAGTTGGTGCAAGTTCTGACGTGTTGACGGGTTGATGACGCCAGAAAACGGTAGTGGAGCAGACTGTACAGGTGCATTGCTCAAAGTCAAGGATGACAACTGACAATGAACAATCCCCTCAAAAAGAATGCCACATTGGCTACCAACTAATGTCTATGACTATGAGCTGCGAGATAACTAGTAATTAACCATGTACAGTTTGCATCCATGTCAGGCGGTAGTCTTGGGCTTTGTCCATGTCGTGACGCCCTTAGAAACGTGGTCCTGCAGGGCTTGCCATGTTGAGCTCATGAACTCAAGTCATTACAACTTGAGCTCCAACTACTGCAGCAGCCCCAGGAACATACGTGCTGCTAGCAGTGATTAGTTTCAACGTCCTGCTCTTCATCTACAACTTCCCTGGCCTAGTGGCTGTCAAGCCTCATGGAAGCATCAGGAACTGAAACGAGGATCTTGAACTTGAAAGCATGTTACAGACAGTGCAAAAACCCCACGTACACACGACGCATGACCCAAGACGAGACACTTGGCCAGAAGAGAGAGAGAGAGAGAAAGCGGGGGGGGAGGTTCCGTACTCATCCGGCTTGAACTTCGTCAAGTTGGAGCGAGGCCTTCCATAAACCAAATCACCAGCTCTTGGCTAGACAAGGATGAGGCGCACACAAGCAGTGAAGTGAGTGGGAGGGGAGAAAGAAGGGAGGCAGTGAATGGATGTTATTCTGAATGCTTTCGACATATGTCGATTGTGGACATTTTATCAAAGAGCTTGCACAAGTGCAGATTCTGAAGATTGCAACTGGCTTGGTGGGGGGAACTTGGACTAAGATCAAATGACACTGGACTGCTGCTCTAAGGCCCACCGTAGTCTTTGTAAACTTTCTGTACCACCATGTGTTGCGTGTTCAGTTGCACTTCATTGGCATTGCGCGAAGCGGATTTTGCAAAGGCAAAGTTTGATTTGGTGCTTGTGGTGATTCTTTTGCTCAGAACATGTCTGAACAAGCGAAAGCATCACGTAATGCAGAGCCCCAGGTGACCAAACTAATACAGGGCTTGGAAGTGAGAATTGCCAGGCCTTAGGAGGAAGTTGGGGGGGTGCGGCGGAGAAATTTGCATGAAACTGCTCCTATTGTGATGCTTAAGGGCGACTCTAGTGCGACTCTAGGGCTGCTAGTGATATCGTATGAGCTGGTCGTGCCGGTTGTACGGTTCTGTTTGGGGCCCAGCTTCAACCTGGAGAAGTCGAGAGATGTGAAAGTCTTCAGGTATAGACCTTTACTAGGAGCCTAGTGGCGATGGCCTCCAACCTAGCTTCTTGCTACTACTAGCTTCTTTCTCCTAATAGCCTAATAGCGATGCCAATGCCCGTTGTTCTTCAGGTTGGAAAGTGAAAGACCCTCGAGTACAGGACTGAACGACCCGCGTGTGACGTTGGACATTTGAGGCTTTGGATGCAGGCGCTCCAGACTGTGGGTACGCAGAAAGGGAATGCACCATTCGATTGAGACAGCACACCCAGAATGTCGTTGAAGGCTGCACGCATTGAACTTCTTGTGATATTTACAAGTAGAAGGAGCGTTGTTCCCTTCCAATTGCGGCTGGGGATTCTTTGCATGATTGTTTGCAAAGGAGCTGTAGGAACAGCTTGAAACATACGGCCTGGTTATACCTGGTTGACACTTTCTGTCATTGTCATGATCCGACATGCAAACATTGTCTCCAGCTTTTACCCGTTTTCGATGAGATCAGGCAAGAGCATTGAGGTACGTAACATATGGAGTTGATAGATTTGCATCGGTTTTGACCGTCCCATTGTTTCAGGACAAAAGCAAAGCCCTCCTACCTCAAGCCCAAGATCAACTACTCCAGCTACTCCAGCTCCCGCAGCATCAAAGCCAACAACACAGGCCGTCAGTGATGCCAGTGATGCCTGTAACTGCGAGGTGTTCAGGACGCAAAACTCAGAACACGTTTAAAGATGTTGAAACAATCAAAGTCAAAGCATTTTAGAATAATGTTAAGCCAAAAGCAGCTCCAGCAGACTTGAATGCCTGCACTCTTTGTGGTAGGCTGTGCAAACTCCTGCTCCAAGCGAAACATCAAGCGGCAGGACTGGCATTCCTTGGATCAGAATCTGAGAGAGCGCGAGGGATGGAGGCAAATGTAAGTCCGTGAGGACAATCACTGTAAATGAACACCTTGTGCTTTCTTTATGTCAACGGATTTGATGTTAAAGAACATGTTTTCAATATGTGAGTTCCTGAGGACCATCATAGTAAAGTAAAACAGTAAAACTGTTTTGTTCTCCTGGTGTGTTTCAGTCCACTGCCTTTGCCTCCATCGCCTCCGATTTCAAGTCTTGTGCATGGCTGAGTGTGGGTGTGAGGAAGCAAGGAAGGGTAGCTGGTGCAAATAGCTTCTAACATGAAACATGCTCTTTGATTCCGCTGTCCCATTGTTTCACTTGGCCATAGATAAGGCGCCGGACATCACTCCACGCACGCGTGAGAATGGTGGCCTGCTGCACTTGCTGAGCCATCGGAGTTGCTCACAGGACGTGCGCTGCTAGAGTGTACTGGTCGGACGATTGTGTATGTCTAGCAATCTAGCTTGGACCAGGTGGAAAAGCTTTGGCATCTCGCTGTTAACCTGGGTTTGTTATAGCAGAGGTCACTATGTTTGCCACATACTCACTTTGTCAAATGGTGTGGCCTGTTGGCAGGACCAAAGTGCCAAGTGCAACCAGGGCTTCATCAAGGCGACCCATGCCAAAGTCGGAAGCCATCGGCCACCCTGTGTATTTAATGACGCTCTCAAACTGTACAAGTCCAGTGCAGGCCAGCGAGTCCCTTCCTGTTGGGCCAACTGTTGGGTGTGGCAGGAGATGGACAAAATGAGACAGGAGGCAGATACTGCGCCGGAGATTCAGGAAAGGCATTTGTACACGAGGCGTGGCGACAATCCACATGTCCAGGCCCCAAGTTGGATTTGCCATGTGGTAGATGGTATAGTAACAGTATAGCCTGCGTGGTTTGATGTACATAGCTGGTCAATGTTCCAGACTCTAGACCATTCCTGACCATTCCCACACCATGATGCCAGTCTTCCAGACGAGCTCATGAATGACCCGCGGTGGCAAACTCATATCAAGCTTTGGCCTCAGTTTGAGATGAGCACATTTTCTTGCGAAGTTGTGTTAAGCCAACTCTTTCGTTGTGGAAGTTTGAGCCTCACAAGATGGCAAGCCTTGCGTCTTAGAAGCCGTGAGCCCAAGGCCAGGTGTACGTGGGCGTGGCTACTGGTTTTGGAAGGCCAGAGGAGATGTTCAGTTGGTGCCATTTGCATGTATTATATATTAGTTAAACCGTTGCGTGAGAACAATGCATGCCCCATGCGTCAGACCAAGTTGTGTCTTTCTTTTTGGGGGGTGCTGTCACACTGTTGCAGGCAGCGCTGTCGCGGATGCTGTTGTCGCAAGGCGTCACTTCGCTGCAGAAAAGAAGTTATATTATATAAGTGAAGTTTCGGCCGCGATTGACGCGATTGGCATCGATTGGCCATTGGCAGAAAGACCAAGGTCCTCCAGATAGGGGATGAACTCCTTTATGCACCTTGGCATGTTGATGATCACTTCTTGGTAGAAGTCATGGTGTCAACCCTTGCATTCTTTCTGTATAAGCTCTAGAATCGCGAGATGATGAGCTATATCATGCTGCAATGGTACAACAGTAGAACATGCCCTTGCAGATTGTAAGCCTACAAAGATCTACAAAGCCTTGGGAGCACAATTCCATTAAAAGCAGCCCTTTCACCGGCAGTGAATGCCATTCCTGGCTTTGCCATCAGACCTTTTCTCATCAAAGTTGTCACGAAGTCTGTCTTGCTTTAGCAAGGAGGGTTGGGAATCCAGGACCCGAGTCCTAACCCCTGATACATCAGGGATATACCCCCCCCTCCGCGGGTTCAACTCTCCCCTTCCTCCCTGACCGTTTCTCAGTTCCCAACGTGGCCGCTGCTGCTGCTGCCTGTGTTGGGGTTGTATTGGGCAGGCACTGTTGGCACTCTCCTCTTGTGCCCTCGAACATGACATGTTGCGACTCCCGGCCTGGGCTTTACTGCCAAAAAGGCCCCAGCGCTGCTTCTTCCCCTAGCTTTCGCCACCCCCTCTGGGCCACAAGTTTGGTTTTTGAATGTTTTTGATATGATGTTTGACGATAGTGGACAAAGGAGGCTTCATCAAGCCAGGTGGACGCGGACTCCATGGGCATGATGAAGCACCTCATCAAGATGCGCAGTCGTTTCAAAGAGGACTTGGCCATGGTGAACTGTTAACTCTTAACTTAACTCTTTTCAATATAGTTTTGGTGCATGTTACTTGTACTGCTACATGAGATGTGCTCAGGGCATACCCTGTTCGTTTGGCTGTTTGGCGGTGGATTGGTCTTGGTGACTCCTTCACTCCGATGGTGCTTGGCACTTGGCGCCTCAATGAGCTGGCCTGATCTGGATTTACCACTTCACTACATTACTGAAGCAGGAGCAAGGAGCAGGCAGCAGGCAGCTATCCAGCCAGCCGCAGCAGCAGCAAACCAACAGGAAACCAGCAAACCACAAGCAACAAACAGCAGCAAAATGCATGGGAAGCAGGGAACATAGGTGGGAGCACGCTTGAAAGAGAACATGAGGACGAGGATGAAGCTCAGGAGAGAAAAAAGGGAGGGGAGGATACTTCGTAAAAACGAGGCCGGCGAAGGTGCGTTGTGTGAAGTAGAGAGGTCGAGGTACATCAAGTGGAGAAACTTGATACGAATCCCACCACACCAGGCCACGGCACAATTGCAAGAAACTGACCCAACCCGAAAATCAGGTCATGGAGGATCCTGGTCCCAAACCCGAGGCCTTGCATTTGTGCCTTTGCAGCTTAAACAAATGTCGCCGATCCGGTTCGCTTTGCTGCTGCTGCATGCTGCTGCTGGCTTGCTGGTGTTGCTGATTTTTTGCTGCTTCTGCTTTGCTGGTTTGCTGCTGGTTTGCTGCTGGTGCTGCTGGTTGCCTGGTTTGCTGCTGCCCTCCTGGTGTGCTAGTGCTGCTGGTCTACTGGTCGTTTGCTGCTCCTGCTGCTGCTGCTGCCGCCGCCTGCTTACAAGCCTTTCGTCCACCTCGCTTCTCTCAAGTATAATATGTGTAGTAATGAGTCATGAGTGCATTTGCTTACCTAAGTACGCAGCAGTGACATTAATTACACGTACACGGTCGCCTAGCCAGAAACACACGTTTGAGTATGTACATGCATGTACAACACTTTTCCCATGTCATGTGTCCGTCCACGTTTTTGCCACTAATGCACCATGGTACCTGACTTGATGTTGATGGGATGCTGGGCTTCGCACATGCTTTTTTGGTGGCAGGACCTCGTACTGGCCGCACAGCCCCATTGCGAGCATGTACTGGTCCTGGAAGAAAGCAACTGACAGAGTACGTTCCACTTGCGATACAGAGACAGACAGACACAGACGGAGGGAGGGACGGAGGGACGGAGGGAGGGAGGACGAGCATGGGGCATGTGTGCAGAAGCCATGTGCAGCACCTGCCATGGCGGCGAGTGAGGGAGTTGCCGTGTTGCCCCTGTGCAATTGCTGGCTTTGAGGTTTGGACCAAAGGTGACATTTTCCAACGCTTCGGCACAACCTGGAACAACTTGCACTATGGCCTCACTCAGCAGCCGAAGGCGCAGGCCGACTCACACTATCGGGAGGAAAAGCTCTGAGAAGAGGTGGGGTATTAGTACCCCAGGTACAATGACTAGTCAAGCACAAGGGCAACGAGAGTAATTTTCCACGCATCGCGTTCGTACGGGCACGGTTGCGCACCGACGGAACTTGAACAATTTCAGCCAGATCAACATTCAAAAGATCAGACCAGCAAAGTCCATTTATCATGTAGCGACTGCATGTCTTCACTCATTCCATTCCTTTGAGTGAAAACGTTTGGCACTGACCCTTTTGCATTGCATGTCCTTTTCAGGGAGGAGATGGCAGAGAGCTTGAGAGATCTTGAGAGGCATTGAAGAATAAACAAATTTGGCAGGCCTTTCTCATGCGCTTGAACGAGCGCACGGTAAAACTGCTGCAGATCTGGGAAGCTCTGATGACGGCCACTTGGCAAGTGAAACTAAGCATCCCTGAGGTGCTTAAGCTAGAGCCAGGTTTTCCCGACTTGCCATCCAAAGGGAATTGCGTTCGGCCCAGGACTTCCACTTGGTGTCAGACGAGCCTTCCAGGACACTAAAACTCCCTGAAAGTGGCGGTGACGCAGGCAGAGTTGTGCCATGTTGCAAGCTGCAGGAACAAAGCCCTGGATGGACCCTGGTTCAAAAGGAAAGAAAATCGCCATGATCAGAGCATCCTATCGATGATCCTGAAGGCTGCAGCCTCACTTTGCCACCTACCTTTATATGTTGGCATCAAGCCTTGCAAAGTCCTGTATCCTGGAGTTGAGCAGATCTGTCGTCCAAGGCCAGCATCGCGAAGTCTGGCTCATGCAACGAGCCCGACTTCAAGTGTGATCGGCTCGGCTCGGACGATGAGACAGCCGGCTGGGAGGTGAGAGGGCCCGTTTAAACTTATATAATTCTATTTATATGTATATTTATTTATTATTGTTTCTAGTAGCTATGTGTTCCTAATATAGCTTCTTGTTACTACTAGTAAGGCCCTTGCTCCTAGTAGCGATGCACTTGTTCCTATTAGTACTTGTTCAGGGCCGAGAGGATGAGTGCGGAGAGGATGAGTGTGGGCGCTTGACATTTTGCTTGCTTGGTGAGTGTGGGCGACTCGCCAGGTGCATCCGGAGCTAGGCGTGAAAGGCCTCACCGTCAAGTACATCTAAAGGACACATTGGTCGAAGCAGGTCTCTCAACTTGTGAAAGGAGGATCATCAATGATCATCAGTAGTAACAAGTGCCACGCTACTAGTAACAAGTGCCTTACTAGTAGTAACAAGAAGCTAGTAGTAAAGTCAATGTCAAAGCCCTCAAGGATGGACCACCACGTTGGCATCACGAAAATGATATTTTTCATGTCAGGATACAGCAGTATCAGTGCTCAGAGCAGCCCAAAGATGGCCGCCAGAAATGCTAACAGCATTAACAGCTTCACTCGCGTCACTGGGAAACATTGGAAGTCCATCGAGGATGCTGACAAACACACTTGTTGCTCTCACTTGGCAGCAATCTTGTAATTGTAAGGTGGGTCAACTACCAGCCTTGCCGAGCAATGAACATCGGCAAAGTTATTTTGCAAAAACCTAGAGCATCCTAGAGCTATATAAAGCTTTTCGCATACAATGGGATGGCATGTGTTGTGTTCCCACAGATTTCCCCTGACTGGGCTAGCCAAAAGTTGGGCTGAGCCTTTTGCAGTGCAGATTCAGAGGGGATAAAAAAAATGCGCTTTAAATTGCTGTGAATGCAATGTCATTCCTGTGCGGTTTTTTGAATCACATGCCCACTTGGCCAGTACGTTCCACAGATGAATTTTCGGGGATGACTTGAAGGTTCTCCTTTCAATTGATTGGTGCACGGGTCCACCCTGGTCCACCCAGTGCGAATTCACGACATCAATATTTGAGCACACAAGGACGCGACATGTCGGAATGGAACAAATGCCCCACGAAAAACCAGCAGATGGCATTTGCCAACCACACGAATGATCGTGCCTGGAAATACACTGCTTGTTCAGGCCTAGAGCAGAAGAAGCAGCAAATGCAGGCGAGCGGCTTTATCCTTTCTGGTTCTTCCTGTACACTTGCCTTTGTGGCCTGCTGGTGTGAGTTGAGTTTTTTTTGGCAGCTTGCCTTTGAGGCCCAATGGGAGATGGAAAGGAAGCAATTCATCACCCATATCGCTTGCTGTCGGGCCGGATCCTCTTTACACAAGTGCAACAACACTTCCAAAAAAAGAACTGTTTCAGGATGTTTCAGGTGCAAAACTGTCGTTCGTTTCTAAGGCAGTGCTTCAACGCTACTCCGTCCCTTTGGAAGAGGCAAGGGAATCACGTGTTTGATGTTTTTATACTTGTTGCGTACTTGTTGGTGTTTTGGTATAGACATGAGTATACGTACAAATAAAAGCATATAAATACTGTGCAATATACAGTAGTATAAGTGGATTGATATGTGTGCATATATACAAATTGTGCCACAGGTACTAAAGTAAATGTCTGATCAGAGGGACGAACAACGTGGCCATTTTGGGTCAAGTCCCTGCGCCCGAACAGTCCTCCCTGTTTTAAATCAACGGGGGAGGTGGCTGTTCCTCCTTGGGCGCAGGATAGATCCCCCACTGGACGACTGGCAACTTTGATCGACCCCCCTCGAGGCCGTGGTCGCAGCGGTAGCCGAGGGAGGGGGCCAGGCTCGAAAAGGATCGATGCAGCTTCTCCCAGAAGGGACAGGACCAAGCTGGGCAAGACAAGCGGCCTTTTCGCAGCTGGTGCCTGCTCCGCTCGCGAAGAGATCGCACGTATGATCGAGAGCGGTGTCCCTTCAAGCGAAATCCTGGAAGCGATCCGGAGTGGTTCAGAAGGAGATCAACCCTTGGAGCTCCAAGGAGAGGTGGAAGGTCCGGAGAGACCTGCAGCAAAGTCCCAGTCGGAAGAGAGACCACTGGAGAGTTCCCGGATGGCTCCTCCTAATTGGACACTGGAGAAGAAGGTGGAGAAGCCGGTAAAGGCACTCACCGTCTCAGAGGGCTCATCCTCGGCCGCATCTACGCCGCATTTGTCATCCGATCGCTCGTCCCGGGATACTCCTACCTGGGCGCTGGGATCGGCACACTCGCCTCTCGGATTTTCCAAGAAGGCAGGTCCCCTCATCCCTCCCTCTCCGAAACCGCGGGTGCAGGAGGAGTTTGATGAGGAGCCAGGGACATCAGCGGTTGAGCCGGAGTTGGATCCCGGCAGGATCACCAGAGGGCTGGATGAAGTTGTGATCTTTGGGGAGTTCTCCAAAAGGGCAGATCGACCGCAAGAGTCCGAGGCCACAATGTGGCGCCGTATGTGCCTTTGGGCCTTCCTCGCAGGAGCCGTCCACTGGAAGAGGCTAAGCTTGAGGAGTTCCGAAAGCTTGCAACTCACCTCTTCGAGGAGCTTGTACTCCACGCGGTGGAAATGGACCTGCTTGATACGTGCTCGAGGGAGGGGAATCATTGACTGTGAGCTCTTCCATAGGTACACTGACCCCAAATCGGCCGGCGCAGCTCTCAGGTATGCTCGGCTCCTGGGAAGGTATCTCCAAGCCTACGAGACCAAATACGGAGCTCCTTCAGACGCAGGACCCAAGATCATGGGACTCGAAGCCATTCAGGCCTTCGTCATTGGCCTGATTGAGGAAGATGTGGGATTTTATACCCCGCGGAGCTTCCTGTACGCAGTGGAATACTTCGGAGGCCTTTGGGTACCATTCGCTGGGCTGCGCTCATCCCCGTGTCCGTAGGCTCTGTACAGACTACTGTATGTGGGCAAAGCCCCAGAACGCAAACCGGCGCCCTTCTTCGAGATCCGTTTCTTGGATTGGTTGGAGAAAGTCCTGTGCTGGGGCTTCGCGCAAAGGCGGCATATACCAAGCCCAGGACCTGGGCAGCAAGCCTCTTGGGAGTACATCCGGACAACGACAAGTGGTTGATCAGGTGGGTGGAGCTCCTCCTAGTGATGCATGGTCACGACTGGCGCACTCACTCATTCGTTGGCAGGCCGGCGGGGAAGTCGGAGGGATGGGAGATGTACCCCCCTCTAATCTCCGAGGACACCCTGACGGTGAAGCACGCCCTCTCGATATAGACGCCGGGAACCAGAGCATCATGCCTAGGGAGCAGGCATTGCACCTGAGGTGGCATAGCTGCAAAACTACTATGCCCACCTACATGACCCACTTCAAGGTCACCACCAGGACGGTGAGGTTTCAGGGAGCCTGGAAGGATCCAGCAGAACTCATGCCAGATTTAGCGAGTCTCAGATATTGGTTCTGAAGGCGCAGATTGAGGTGCTAGGCCAAATTCGCCGCAGGGCGAGGCTTGACAGTATGCGACAGCCCGACTGGGCCACGGTCGAAACCCTCACCGAGGAGGATAGGTTGCCAAAGTCCAGCGGCGCGGAACGGGGGGCGGAAGCCATGAGACACGCCTGCAGTCTGTCAGAGAACTCCCACCGGCACTGCGCGGCACTGGAGCTGAAGACCTGGAGTGGAGGAGCTGGAGGTCACCCTTGAGAAGGAGAGGGAGCTTGCAAAGTGCTACAAGGACCACGTGGTTGAGCGTGTTGAAATTCACCCAACGCGGTCGAGCAAGGGCCGGATTCGGACGACAGTGAAGCCGACCTCGTGGCGACTGACCTGGAGATGCACCACACCTTCGTGCAGTTAGCCTCTGGGACGGGAAGGATTCACAAACCTTCTCACCGGGATGAGAATGTGAGGTGCGGGAGCCAGGGTTCCCGATTCGCGGAACTCCAAGTGGACCACAGCTGGGGAGTGGACTATAAACTCTGCAACAAGTGTTTTGGAAGAAACGTTGAGTCGTCCACGTGCCCCTTGCTGTGCGACTTCGTGTTGAAGAAGAACGACCGGGGCGTCTTGTGCTGTGGGCGGCAGCGCGGAGGCGACCAAGTACCAGGACATCTGAATCCGAGTGAGCCGGGCTTCGATCCAACAAGTAGGCACAGATGCAGAAGACGACATTTGACCTGATCGATACGACGCGTCTCAAAATTATTCGGGCGCCAGCGAGATTGTTTAAACCATGTAGCCACGCAACCCAGTTCGCAGGATTTCATGCAATGCTGGAGTGTCCATTGGGGATCCATGTCCTTTTGTTTGGACGTGACGAGTGCACCTCTATTGTAGACGCATGCGCCGATGCCCCAATGAGTGGATCAAACACCCGGAGAGGTTGGCAGGAGAAGAGGGTGAAGGCAAGACGAAAATCACCCTGGCCCATGCTCAAGAGCTCGAAGACAAGGCTGTGGAGACTGGCATGCTGGAGGCCACATCGGACAGGGAGCGAACCTCACTCCACTCTCCAAGGTGCAGTCGACCTTCTTGCCGAATGGGACCTTTCAGCACCTGGCCTGGGAATCGTACGTTTCAATGGAAGTTGAATCAAGGTTGAGGCGCGCAGGCAAATTGCCGAAAGACAAACGGGAGCTGGTGGTCGGACACGGACATCGAGTACGACGTGATGAAAGCCTATGGGGAGAGAATCGTGGCCAGCCTGCGAGGGGTTACCGCAGAGGGCATGCGAAACCCCACAATGAACGAAGCACGTCGCGCAGACAGGGAGATTTTTGGTAAGATCCTGAAGTGGGTGGCAAAAGGAAAAGGATCGGTAGAGGCCGGTCTCAGCCATTACACCCGGGAGTTCAAGACAGAGCCGCTCTGGAAGCTCCTCAGCCAGCAGCCGGAAGGCCACCCCGATCAAGGGAAGGAGACTAGCAAGAGTGCTGGGGAAGAGAAGAAGGCGGGCACGACGCGGTCACGAACCCCGGAGAGAACCACCAGGGACAGACCCGGCGAGCCCCCAAAACTCCGGATGTGCATTGTCTGCCGCAAGCGCCACGAGCCACGCTGCCAGATCCCTCCAGGTTTTCGGAAGGAGCAGAAGCAGTGGACTCGCGAGAAGCGCAAGCAGGAAGAAGAGCACAAGAAGGAAAAAGGGGGAAGGGAGGCCAAGAAGTAGGGACGGCTCCTCTCGGGAGCGCGCGCGACCCGTGCTCCGGGAGGTATAGAATTTTTGAAACCAGTGAATCTTCAGAGAGAGGAGAAAAAGGTCGCAGAACCCTGGGATCTGTTGAGGGGAAGAGATGTTTTCCAGCAAGCTGGACAGTTGGAGTGAGGCC